TGTTTTTCACTCCCTTGGCCTGTCTAAAACTGCTAGAGGAGAGGTCTAGTAGCAGGAAGGGAACCTAGCTGCAGTCTTCTGGTGCTTAAAATTACCTTAGTCAATTGTGTGTGTGTGGGGGTGTGCGTGTGTGTGCGTGTGTGTGTGTGTGTGTGTGTGTGTGTGTGTGTGTGTTGCTGCTCTTCCTACCCCTAACAGAAAGCATGGGGGTGGAAAAAGCATGGAGTGCAGAAGGAACCCCTGCACTTCTTTCCCTCATTCTCCATCAACCGAGTCCACATTTGGAAGAACACAACCCAGGCTGCAGAAAGTGGAGGATGGATTTTCATGTAGTGCTGCATGGCAGCCCTCTCGTGGTTTAATTTGCAAAGACCCCAAGGAAAACAGGGTACTCAGGGCCTAGGCCCTGTCCCAGAGCTTTTTCCGCACAAGGCTAGTGCTCTACCACTTTCAGCCACGGTGTCATTTGAGAATCCACTCGCCTCTCTGCCTACAGGTGCTGGGCGTTGCAGGCTATGCATCTTTCTCTGTGATGAACACACCAGTCATCCATTTGGTTCCATGACTTCAAACCCGGAGTCTTCGGGGGATGGCCTGAAGCATCAGGCCTTCACTTATCCCTCAGGAGTAGGGCAGGTAGGCCAAGTTCCCAAGGCTTCAGTGGGTGCTTGGCTGTCATGATCCTCTCCTGGTCTCATCTTGCCTTCTCCCTCTTACCTGCTCTCCATGGCTGGGCCATTTCTCACCCTCAACACTCTCAAGTGCTCTGCTCAGCTCATACTCACCATATTTGCCCTGCCTACTGCTCTGCTTTAGTAAAGGCAACTCTCTCATGACAGCCTGCCATCACCTCAATGGTCCCCAGAAAAGAACCACAATTGCTGCCCCCCAAACCTATCCCATCTCAGAAGCTGCCACTCCTCAGCCCCCCACCCCCCTTTGCTGGAATGTCCATTTCAAGCAACAGGTGTGGCAAAGGCAGTCACATGGAAGTGACAGGCTGGGTAGGTGACTAGGGAGTGGTGACATACCCTGTACCCTGCAGGAAACCCTTTTACTGTCCTGGTATTGATATGATAATATGAGTGGCATGGAATTCATAGCTCCCTTTAATATCTCTTTTAACCTGCACCACTTTCCCTGTGTATGTGCTCCAATTCATTTCATGAAAGATGTAACAGTTGAGTTAAAAGCTGCAGGGTTGGTGTTGTAGAGAGCTTGTACTTCTGGCTAAAATGTATTCCTAGTTTATTTTTCTTAAGTACATTGAGATTGCTTTCGTGATTTCCATTTCAGAGTTTGAGGCTAATATGAGGGCTTGATTTTAACATGGCTTTGGCTGGTCTAGGTTGACTTAACTGTCACCATTCACCTTTTACTTCTGGGATACGTTCATCTTTCTTGAAGTTTAGATGTTAACCCTGCTATCTATTGCAATACATTTTCTAGACCTCCCTCTGGGCCCAATCTGAATATTTGCTCTATTTAAAGCTGTAAGCTGTGTATACATTCATCTCCATTCCTTTTTTTTCCACTAACTTTTATTTGAAAATGGCCTGACAGGTGGTAACAGTAGGGAAAAACTGGAGAGAGCCAGGGAAGGGGTGACATTGTCCAGAAAGAAATGTGTTCTTTATCTGACTTATATAACTGTTTTCCCTCTGTACATCACTTTTTTTGTTGTTGTTGATGGGTCGTGGGGGTTGAATTCTGGGCCTGAGTACTGTCCCTCACCTCTTCAGCTCAAGGCAAGCGCTCTACCACTTGAGCTACAGAGCCACTTCCGGTTTTTCTGAGTGTTTATTAGAGATAAGAGTTTCACAGACTTTCCTGCCCGGGCTGGCTTTGAACCTCGAACCTCAGATCTCAGCCTCCTGAGTAGCTAGGATTACAGGCATGAGCCACCGGTGCCTGGCTGTACATCACCTTTATACTAACAATTTAAAAAGAAAATTTTAAAAGAAAATGGCCTATCTTTGGTCCCAGCAATTCTTTTCTTCTGATTCCTTTGATCACATTTTAATGTTTTGCTTAGTTTTCAAGGATTGCTGCATAATTTTAAATTGCTTCTTTCTCTCTTTGGCAGTACTGAATCATTTCTCTAGGTGTTCTCACTGTTCATTCAGTTTCCTTAAAACATCTGTTTTACCTTCGCCCTCTGAGAGTTCTGCAGTATTGTTACTACCAGGTCTGTCTAGTGGCCCATTGTGGTCTCCCACTGATGGCAGGCTTCCCCAAAGGTTCCTCATGCTTGATAGACACTGAACATTGCTGTTTTTCTTGTGTATTCATTGGTCAGCATTTATTCCAGCCTTCCTAATGTGGCTTTGATTGTAACAGTTTTCTCAGAAATTCTGAGTAGGCTGCTTACTTTCTCCAGGCCTATAATCAGTTATTCGATTTCACCACAAAATGATGGTCTAATTACAGGCTTTGCTGTGGGTTGCTTTTACTCTCTGGTCAGGAGCTGAAAATGGACACGCATCTCATCAAGAATGTCTTGACTGGCTTTGAACCGTGATCCTTGGATCTTAGCTTCCTGAGTGGCTCGTGGCTCCTGAGTGCCCAGCTCATCAAACTCTTATCTCCAATAAACCACCAGACAAACCAGAAGTGGTGCTACGGCTCAAGTGGTAGAGCACTAGTCTTGAGCTGAAGAGCTCAGGGACAGTGCCCACGCCCAGAGTTCAAGCCCCAAGACCGAGAAAAGAAAGAAAGAGAGAGAGAGAGAGAGAGAGAAAGAAAGAAAGAAAGAAAGAAAGAAAGAAAGAAAGAAAGAAAGAAAGAAAGAAAGAAAGAAAGAAAGAAAGAAAGAAAGAAAGAGAAAGAAAGGTAGGTAGGTAAACTGGGCGCGAGTGGCTCATGCCTGTAATCCTAGCTACTCAGGAGGCTGAGATCTGAGGATCATGGTTCAAAGCCAGACTGTGTAGGAAAATTCGGGAAACTCATCTCCAATTAACCACCAGAAAACCGTGCCGTTGTGGCTCTAGTGGTAGAGCTGAAGAGCTGAGGGACATTGCTCAGGCCCAGAGTTCAAGCCCCACGAACCACACACACACACACAAACCTAAAGTAAGTAACCAGGCTTCCAGGCTTGGTTGGTATACTCCTGTGGTCCCAGCTCTTTGGTGGAGGAAGAGAAAGTAGAGTTCAAGGGCAGGTTGGGCAAAGTCAAGTGAGACAAAGTAAATTAGACCTTGCCAGAAAACCATGCAGACATCCAGGAACAAAGAACAAAGAAAAGGTTTATTGCCAATAAAGGGACTGGAAAGACCCCTTCCCACAGGAGAGGAGTGAGAAGCGCCGGCTATTGTCTGAGGTGACCTATATAACCTACTGAGGTTTAAGAAGGGCTAGAAGGGGCTAGGAGGCAGAGACCCCTGTGTGGATGTGAGGACCAGGGGTTTCATCATGGTAGACTAGGCTCTGGCTGCTGCCTTAGTAGATAAGGGGCCCTGCAGCTGCCTAGACCTGAAGGTCACTCTAAGGGGCTCTTGCTGCTTTATATGGTGGTAGCTGCCCCAGAGGAGTGCCATCTCAAGGCAAAGGGGGGTTGGAGGCTGATTATTTACTGCCTTTACTAAATGGGCCTAGTGTTGCCTAGGAAGGGAGCATGCCAAGCTGTGGAAGGGGGGAGGAGCATGCTAAACTATCGGAAAGGAGCTCATTGGACTAATCTTTTCTCAAAAGCAAAGTCAAAATATAGGTACAAAGGAGTCAGTCAAATTACATAGTATGAGCACCAGGACATTGACTCAATCCTTGGTACCACAAATTAAAATAAGCCAAGTAAGTCTAAATAATAGGTTAAGAGGGGTAGGAAGAAAAAGAAAAAAAAAATCCTCCTGTCCAAGATACTTCTACTGGGTCTTGTAATAACTGGAATCCATCAGGTATGGGGGAGGGGAAGCACTCCTTGATCCTAGCAAGCAGAATGGTGCTTTCAGCAGGACTGTATCATTGACTCATGAAATTTCTCTTCTTAGCTGGTTGGGGTGCTGGTAGATCTCAGGAGGCTGAGATCTGAGGACTGGAATTAGAAGCCAGCATGGGCAGGAAAATCCCTTTGAGACTCTTACCTCCAATTAACCGCTCCAAAAAAGCCAGAAGTGGCATTATGGCTCAAGTGGTAGAGCATTAGCCTTGAGCAAATAGAGGCTCAGGGACAGGGAGGCCCTGAGTTCAAGCCTCAGGACTGGCAAAACAAGAAAGAAAAAGACAATAAATTTCTCTTCTTTTCGAACCAGGAACTTCTGTTGGACTCATTGAGTGTCCATGCTTGGAGACACGACAGATTTGCAGCCAGAGTAGAGACCCAGTCTGTGCAGTTCTAGGAGCAGCAAATGGCCAAGCCAAGCTGTCCCCCAGAGCATCAAGAGTGAGGTACAGAAACTGGGCAGTGAGTTTCAATGTTCCTTGGGCCTCAGGCTTTGATCTCTCTTGTCTGCTCCCACCCACTGCCTCCAAAGAGAGGCCTCTCTTCTAGCTCACAAGCCCCTAAACCCCTTTGCCTTCCTCAGCTCAGGCTCCCCACCGCCTTCTCTGCCTGCCTGAATCACATCCTCCCTCACACAAAGGTCTTTATATGGGCCCTCACTTTGTGATTGTTGCTTGCTTTCAGGTCCCCAGAGTACCTCATCCTGAAATAATAAACCCTGTTTCAAGATAGCACCTGGCTACCGCACTCTGAGAAATGGGGGTCTGGGAGGGGAGAATGACTGCCAGGATGGAGAACTTGGTGTCACGCTAGTCCCCTCTCTAGATGTAAGGTTTGCAGGAACCTCAGAGCCAGCACTGCCATCATGATGGTATGGTATATAAAATGTATATTACGTTTCTATAATGGTAGATTTCATGCACGTGGCAAAAATGTCAAAATGACCAATCTTTAGACATTTTTCATTTTCTAATTTTTTATTCTTTCCTATCTTCTGCAGTGTTGAAACAAATCAGCATATAAACATTTTTCTGCTGAGGCTAGCAGGCAGATGCTCTCCAGAGGAATAAAGATTGAAGAAACTTCACCAGTAGTTCACTGAGCTTCACTTTCTTCAAACTTGATCTCAAATGTCTAAATTCCGTGCTGCAATTTAATAGAAGAGATAGTCATCTTCAAATCAGTGATTAAAAAAGAACTTTACAATCAGTGACAAGAGGATATTGAAAGAATAAATCAGACTTCCTGAAACACTTGATGCTATATCTGTCTACTTTGTGATCCTCAGATGTATGTGCCCTGTACACCCTCTCTCAGGACTTGGAAATTCCAAGTGGAGCCATCAACAGCTACTAAAACCCTGTATTATTATTGTTGTTGTTGTTGTTAGCTAGGTACAAGTGGCTCACAGCTGTCATCCTAGCAACTCAGGAGGCTGAGATCTAAGGACTACAGTTTGAAGCCAGCCTGGGTAGAAAAGTTCATGAGACTCATCTCCAATTAACCATCCAAAAAGCCAGAAGTGGAGCTGTGGTTTAAATGGTAGAGTGCAAAAAAAGCAAAAAAGCTCAGGCACAGTGTTAAAATGTGAAACCAGAGATAGAACACACCCCGAGTTCAAGCCCCAGGACTGGCACAAAAATAAACCTCGCTGTTTGTGCTCGTCCTTTTCCAAGATTTCATTCTTCACATTACAGCACTTCTAAGCTCATATTTTCTGTCATCCCCTACTTTCTGCCTGTTTTCTTTCCCCTCATACTCCAATTAGGCTCAGAGCATCTCTTTGAACCTTGATCTTGTAAGCATTATGCACACCTTTGGTCCCCAGATCTTACATAGATTGGATGTAAACTCAAGCTTAAGTGTACATATCTGATATTTTTCTTTCTTTTTTTTTGGGGGTCCGGTCGTGGGGACTGAACTCTGGGCCTGGGCGCCGTCCCTCAGCTCTTCAGCTCAAGGCTAACGCTCTACCACTTGAGCCACAGCGCCACTTCTGGCTTTTTTCTTTTTGCTTATGTGGTGCTGAGGAATCGAACCCAGGGCCTCAGGCATGCAAGGCAAGCACTCTACCACTGAGCCACCTTCCCAGCCCCTTATCTGATATTTTTCTAATTCTGTTGACAGGTCTGTCTCTTTTCACTGATAGTAGTGTTTCAACTCAAGTTTTCCCCTTTCTGGGCTTGTTGCTCCAGCTAGAGCCCTACTGCTCTGCCCCCAGGCCTGCTTTGTGATATTTTTGTCCCTTAGCTTTTTGCTCAAGATGGGCACCCAACCTATTTAGCTCCATTTCATTTTTGTGTTTTTGTTTTTCTGCTTAATTGTAGGTAATAGTCTCACAGATTTCTTTGCCCAGGCTGGCTGTGAACCTTGATCTCAGCCTCCTCAGAAGCTAGGATTGTTGGCGCCTTGTACTTTTCATTGTAATGTGGTCAGTTTGCCACTTACTTGTTGTCAAGGTCTCTATTTATAGTGAAACTTTGTTCTCCTTAACAGCTACACTTTGTGGTTAACTAAAAATACCCGACCATTAAGCTTGTGGCTTTAGTAGCTGCCAAAATGAAGTAATTATGCAAAGGGACCTAACACTTCAGAACCTCTCTCTTTGCAATTCCTGAAGCAGTTCAACTCAAATGTATATTTCGGTAATCCTCTTACTACCTTCTTCTCCTTTAACCCTTTTCAAATTGGATTCCTGGGGCTGCCTTTCAGGAGACCAAATAAGTGAAAATCCCTCTCTTGTAGGAGTATTTACACATAAATGGCATTCAGACAAAAGCACTTAATCCCTAAGTAGCTATTGTTTGAGTTACTAGCTCCAAGTGAAGCTGGAGTTGCTGCTAGAATGTGAGGTTATCCCTCATTTTAGAGCAGAAACAATTCAACGAAAATTACTTGTGCAATTATTCAATTGCTATTGTTATATACCAAGTAGTTGATATAATGCATGTATGAATTCTATGCATTTCATTAATTCTAGGCATGCAGGCAAGAAGAGAAGGGATGCATACATAGAAGAACTTGCCCAGAACTGTCTAGTGCAGGGTTTTTTGTTTTTTTTTTTTGGTTTTTATTTTTGTTGGTCATGGGGCCTGAACTCTGCTGGGCACTGTCCTCAGCTCTTCAGCTGAAGGCTAATGCTCTACCACTTTAGCCATAGCACTTTTTCTGCTTATGTGGTGCTGAGGAATCAAACCAAGGGCCTCATGCATGCAAGGCAAGCACTCTACCACTGAACCACCTCCCCAGCCCCTGGTTTGTTTTTTCTTTTGTTTTCCCTCAGTCTTAGGGCTTGAACTCAGGGCCTGAGCACTGACCCTGAGTTTCTTTTGCTCAAGGCTAGTAGTGCAGTTTGGGATTTTTTGTGTGTGTGCCTGGTTAGGGAATGTTTTTTTCTGTGTGCTTTTATTCGTCATCGAACCCAGGGACTTGTGCTCTTACTTGGCTTTATCTGCTCAAGGCTAGCACTCTACATTGAGCCACTGCTCAACTTCTGGCTTTTTGGTAGCTAATTGTAGCTAAGAGTCTTTTAGACTTTTTTGCCTCGGCTGGCCTGGAATGGCAACCCTCAGATCTCAGCCTTCTGAGTAGCTAGGATTACAGGTATGAGTCACCAAGTCCAGCTGGACTCTTTTAATGAATGTTCAGCTCCATGTTCCTAAACTTGGCGTATCTTTTAAAGTCATTGTTTGCCATAATACTGTACTGAACAGGCCCCAACCAGTTCCTAGCCTTAGTACTACAGAGGAGTGACTTGGAAGTTGGCACTCTTCCAGTGGGACTACTAGTCACACTGAGAATGAATGGAGTCCACCCCCACCCTGTGTCTCCCTTCCTGGCCACTTCCAAGAGGCTGTCTGGAGAAGCTGTGGCTTTCTAAGGGTTAACAGATTACTAAAAGGAGAAGCTCACAATGACTACCCATTAACTTGGTATGATATGGCAATAGCTGTACTTTTCAGACTTTTCAGTCTGACAAGATGAGTGGTCCAATCACTGGGGAGATAAGGGCCCTTTGTTGGTACTGTCATCCTCTATTCCTGTTACTGCCTTCTCTAGAGTCTGTAGCTACTGATCTGCCACTCAATCCCACCCCTTTTCCATTAATCATTACCCCCAAAAAAGGCAAAGCTGGTCTCCAGTGTGGCTCACCCTGTAATCCCAGCTATTAAAGAGGCTGAGATCTGAGGAATTGCAGTTCAAACACAGCCCTGGGTTTGAAGAAAGACCATGAGACACTTTTTTTTTGGGGGGGGGGGGGGGGCCGGGGGGGGGGCCTGAACTCTGGGCCTGGGTGCTGTCCCTCAGCTCTTCAGCTCAAGGCTGGCACTCTTACCACTTGAGCCACAGCACCACTTCCAGCTTTTCTTTTTGCTTATGTGGTGCTGAGGAATCGAACCCAGGGCCTCATGCATGCAAGGCAAGCACTCTACCACTGAGCCACCTTCCCAGCCCCAGATATTTTTTTTGGGGGGGGGGTCTGGTCGTGGGTCCTGAACTCTGGGCCTGGGTGCTGCCCCTTACCTCTTCAGCTCAAGGCTAGCACTCTACCACTTGAGCCATAAGTGCCACTTCCGGCTTTTTCTGCTTATGTGGTACTGAGGAATTGAACCCAGGGCCTCATGCATGCAAGACAAGCACTCTACCACTGAGCCAACTGAAGAGCTGAGGGACAGCACCCAGGCCAAGAGTTCAAGCCCCAGGACCAACCAAAAAAAATAGGCTTAACTACACTTAAATAAGGCTCAAATTTTAGTTATAGTTAGGTATTCTTCAACATTTAAGCCTAATGCTGGCTTACTCTAATAATAGAGAAGTTACTAAATATACTATAGAGATAATGGGCTTGCTTTTCTGTAATTGTAGGAAGGAACCACAAATAAGATAGATGCCATGCCTTACAACTGAGGCCATGGGCACCACCAGAAATATGGTTAGGCGCCCATCCTAAGATGGAAAAGTGAAACATTTTTGCTGTCTAGCAATACAAGGCATTCTAGACAGTTTGTTTTTTTCAAAGGGTGGGCAGAGGAGTTGGAAGCATGGTTCAGTTGGTAGAGCACCAGCCACTCAGCATAGTGAAAGGTAGGGAGTTCAGGTCCCAGTCCCCTGTCCCTGTCCCCCCCAAAAAAGAAGAAACCCAATGTATGTGAGGTTAGGAATGTGGCTTAGTGATAGAGTACTTGCCTAGCATACATGAAGCCCTGGGATCGATTCCTCAGTACCACATAAACAGAAAAGGCCAGACGTGGCGTTGTGGCACAAGTGGTAGGGCGCTAGCCTTAAGCAAAAGAAGCTCAGGGACAGTGCCCAGGTTCTGAGTTCAAGCCCCAGGACTGGCAAAAAAAAAAAAAAGCAGGGACTGACATCCGAACTGTAAGGACAGGGGGGATGGGAAGGGGGCATCCCTGTAGGAGGCTACTACAGGTGGCTCCCAGGGCAAATAGCAGGAGAGCCAGGACTTTGAACTTTTAAGTACTAAGCAAACATGAGGCCTAAGAAGCACCTGTGGAGTCCTAGATTGCATAGTAATTTATTAACAAGACAGACTAAAGGCTGAGGGTGTAGGAGAGCACCAGATTACCAAGGGTGAGATGCCTCGATTTGATTCCTGTACCACCACCCACAGAACAAAAAACTGAAAGACACAGGGCTGGAGATGTGACCCACTTGGTGATGTCCCTGGCCAGCATGCCCTGGGATCCATCTCCAGCACCCAAGGGGGAATAGAAAAAAATGTAGTTGTGCTTATGTGTAAGTAATATACAGGAGAATTGTGATCAATTTCTGTTGCTTAGCAACATGCCTGGTAGTCTTGCCAATCTACAAACCCAGACTCCTTCCCCCTTCCCACACTACACTGGTTTAGATCCAATTATCACAATTCCACAGGCTAGCACGATCCACAGGAGGTATCCATGGTGATTCTCACTATCCCCCTGTAGTCTTTGTATCAGAAAGGTTGGCGGATTTTTTTTTTTTTTGTGCTCCCTGCATCATTTCCCAACTCATTACTGTGCCTTCCAATTGCCTTCTTTGTACTTCAGAACTCTCCAAGCCTGCCCCCATTATCTAATCTCAAAGTTTCTTCTGTATGTTAATAGTAGCTTTCCAATTCCCAACACCGGATTTCTCCTACAGGTTAT